CAAAAAGAAGGAAAACACCCAAAACCAGAACACTTCGCCCCCTAGAAAGGACCAAAACTCCTCATCAGCAAGGGAACAAAGCTGGACGGAGAATGAGAGTGACGAAATGGCGGAACTAGACTTCAGAAGGTAGATAATGAGAAACTTGTGAGCTAAAAGAACATATTGTAAATCAATGCAAAGAAACTAAGAACCTTGAAAAAAGATTTGAAAAAGATTCGAGGAAATGATAACAAGAATGGATAACTTAGAGAGGAATATGAATTAATTAAAGGACCTGAAAACCACAATACGAGAACTTCACGAAGCATGCACAAGTTTCAACAGCCGAATTGACCAAGCAGAAGAAAGAATATCAGAAGTCGAAGATCAACTCAATGAAATAAAATGAGAAACCAAGATTAGAGAAAAAAATGCAAAAATGAATGAACAAAGTCTCCAAGAAATGTGGACTATGTGAAGAGACCTAACCTATGTTTGATAGGTCTACCAGAATGTGACGAAGAGAATGAATCCAAGCTGGAAAATACTCTTCAGGACATTATCCAGGAAAATCTCCCCCACCTAGCAAGACAGGCCAACACTCAAATGCAGGAAATACAGAGAACACCACAAAGATATTCCGCAAGAAGAGAAATCCCAAGGCACATAATCGTCAGATTGACCAGAGATGATATGAAGGAGAAAATACTAAGGGCAGCCAGAGAGAAAGGTCGGGTCACCCACAAAGGGAAGCCCATCAAACTCACAGCAGATCTCTCGGCAGAAACTCTACAAGCCAGAAGAGAGTGGGGGCCAATATTCAACATCCTTAAAGAAAATAACTTTCAACCCAGAATTTCATATCCAGCCAAACTGAGCTCATAAGTGAAGGGAAAATAAAATTTTCTGCAAACAAGCAAGTACTCAGAGATTCTGTCACCACCAGGCCTGCTTTACAAGAGCTCCTGAAAGAGGCACTACACATAGAAAGGAACAACCAGTACCAGCCATTCCAAAATCACACTAAATGCTAAAGAGCATCAACATAATGAAGAATCAACTTCAACTAACGGGCAAAACAGCCAGCTAGCATCAAAATGGCAGTATCAAATTCACACATAACAATATTAACCCTAAATGTAAATGGACTAAATTCACCAATCAAAAGACACAGACTGGCAAATTGGATAAAAACCCAAAACCCATCAGTGTGCTGTATCCAGGAAACCCATCTCACATGCAAGGATACACAAAGGCTCAAAATAAAGGGATGGAGGAAGATTTACCAAGCAAATGGAGAGCAAAGAAAAGCAGGAGTTGCAATTCTCATCTCTGATAAAATAGACTTTAAAGCAACAAAGATCAAAAGAGACAAAGAAGGCCATTACATAATGGTAAAAGGATCAATACAATAAGAAGAGCTAACGATCCTAAATATATATGGACACAATACAGGAGCACCCAGATACATAAGGCATGTTCTTAATGATTTGCAAAGAGACTTAGACTCCCACACAATAATAGTGGGAGACTTTAACACTCCACTGTCAATATTAGACAGATCAACCAGACAGAAAATCAACAAGGATATCCAGGGCTTGAACTCAGACCTGGAACAAGCAAACCTGATAGACATTTACAGAACTCTCCACCCCAAATCCACAGAATATACATTCTTCTCAGCACCACATCACACCTACTCTAAAATTGACCACATAATTTGAAATAAAGCACTCCTAAGCAAATGCAAAACAACTGAAATCATAACAAACCGTCTCTAAGACCATAGTGCAATCAAGTTAGAACTCAGAATTCAGAAACCAACCCAGAACTGCACAGCTTCATGGAAATTGAACAACTGGCTCTTGAATGTTGACTGGATAAACAATGAAATGAAGGTAGAAATAAAGAAGTTCTTTGAAACCAATGAGAACAAAGACACAACATGCCAGAATCTCTGGGACACATTTAAAGCAGTCTCTAGAGGAAAATATATAGCAATAAGTGCCCATATGAGGAGAATGGAGAGATTCAAAATTGACACCCTATCGTCAAAATTGAAAAACCTAGAGGAGCAAGATCAAAAAAACTCAAAACCTAGCAGAAGACAAGAAATAACTAAGATCAGAGCTGAACGGAAGGAAATAGAGACATGAAAAACCCTTCAAAAAATCAGTAAATCCAAGAGCTGGTTTTTTGAAAAGATCAACAAAATAGACAGACCACTAGCCAGATTGGTTAAAAAGAAAAGAGAAAACAACCAAATAGATGCAATAAAAAATGATAAAGGGGAAATCACCACAGATTCCACAGAAATTCAAACCATCATCAGAGAATATTACAAACAACTCTATGCACATAAACTAGTAAACCTGGAAGAAATGCATAAATTCCTGGACTCCTGTGTCCTCCCAAGCCTAAACCAGGAGGAAGCTGAAACTATGAATAGACCAATAACAAGGTCAGAAGTCGAGGCAGCAATTAAGAGCCTACCACACAAAAAAAGCCCAGGTCCAGATGGGTTCACAGCCGAATTCTACCAGACACACAAAGAGGAGCTGGTACCATTCCTTCTGAAACTATTCCAAATAATCCAAAAAGAGGGAATCCTTCCCAAATAATTTTATGAGACAAATATCATCCTCATACCAAATCCCGGCAGAGACCCAACAAGAAAAGAAAACTTCAGGCCAATATCCATGATGAACATAGATGCAAAAATCTTCAATAAAATATTGGCAAGCCGATTGCAACAGCAAATCAAAACACTTATTCATCATGATCAAGTAGGATTTATCCCGGGGATGCAAGGCTGGTTCAACATACGCAAGTCGATCAACGTAATTCACCACATAAACAGAACCAAAAACAAAAACCACATGATTATCTCAATTGACACAGAGCAGGCATTCGACAAAATTCAACAGCCCTTTATGCTGAAAACCCTGAATAAACTCAGTATCGTTGGAACGTATCTCAAAGTAATAAAAGCTATTTACGACAAACAAACAGCCAATATCATACTGAATGGGCAAAAACTGAAAGCATTCCCTATGAAATCTGGCACTAGACAAGGATGCCCTCTTTCACCACTCCTATTCAATATAGTACTGGAAGTTCTAGCCACAGCAATCAGGCAAGAAAAAGAAATAAAGGGCATTCAAATAGGAAAGGTGGAAGCCAAATTGTCACTATTTGCAGATGACATGATAGTATACCTAGAAGACCCCATCACTGCAGCCCAAAAACTCCTGAAACTGATAAGCAACTTCAGCAAAGTCTCAGGATATAAAATCAATGTGCAAAAATCACAAGCATTCCTCTACACCAATAACAGACTTAAAGAAAGCCAAATAAAGAACGAACTGCCATTCACAATTGCTACAAAAAGAATAAAATACCTTGGAATACAACTCACAAGGAACGTAAGGGACCTCTTCAAGGAAAACTACAAATCGCTGCTCAACGAAATAAGAGAGGACACAAACAGATGGAGAAACATTCCATGTTCATGGTTAGGAAGAATTAATATCGTGAAAATGGCTATACTGCCCAAAGTAATTTACAGAATCAACGCTATCCCCATCAAGCTACCATTGACTTTTTTCACAGAACTGGAGAAAACCACCATGAACTTCATATGGAACCAAAAGAGAGCCCGCATAGCCAAGTCAATTCTAAGCAAAAAGAACACAGCGGGGGGCACCACACTACCGGATTTCAAACTATACTACTAGGCTACAGTAATCAAAACAGCATGGTACTGGTACCAAAACACAGATATAGACCAATGGAACAAAACAGAGGCATCGGAGGCAACACAACATATCTACAACCATACAATCTTTGATAAACCTGACAAAAACAAGCAATGGGGAAAGGATTCCCTGTTTAATAAATGGTGTTGGGAAAACTGGCTAGCCATGTGCAGAAAGCAGAAACTGGGCCCCTTCTCGACACCTTACACTAAAATTAACTCCAGATGGATTAAAGACTTAAACATAAGACCTGGCACGATAAAAACCCTAGAAGGAAATCTAGGCAAAACCATCCAGGACATAGGAGTAGGCAAGGACTTCATGAACAAAACACCAAGAGCATTGGCAACAAAAGCCAAAATAGACAAATGGGACCTAATCAAATTTTACAGCTTCTGCACAGCAAAAGAAACAGTCATTAGAGTGAATCGGCAACCAACAGAATGAAAAAAATGTTTGCAGTTTACCCATCTGACAAAGGGCTGATACCCAGAATTTACAAAGAACTCAAACATATTTACAGGAAAAAAACAAACAAGCCCATTCAAAAGTGGGCAAAGGATATGAACAGACACTTTACGAAAGAAGACATACATGAGGCCAACAATCATATGAAAAAATGCTCATTGTCACTGGTCATCAGAAAGATGCAAATCAAAACCACATTGAGATACCATCTCATGCCAGTTAGAATGGCGATCATTAAAAAATCTGGAGACAACAGATGCTGGAGAGGATGTGGAGAAAAAGGAACACTTTTACACTGTTGGTGGGAGTGTAAATTAGTTCAACCATTGTGGAAGACAGTGTGGCGATTCCTCAAGGCCTTAGAAATAGAAATTCCATTTGACCCAGGAATCCCATTACTGGGTATATATCCAAAGGAGTATAAATGGTTCTACTATAAGGACACATGCACACGAATGTTCATTGCAGCATTGTTTACAATAGCAAAGACTTGAATTAACCCAAATGCCCATCGATGATAGACTGGATTGGGAAAATGTGGCACATGTACACCATGGAATATTATGCAGCAATCAGAAATGATGAGTTTGTGTCGTTTGTAGGGACATGGATGAATCTGGAGAACATAATTCTCAGCAAACTGACACAAGAACAGAAAATGAAATACCGCATATTCTCACTCATAGGCAGGTGATGAAAAATGAGAACACATGGACACAGGGAAGGGAGTACTAAACACTGGGGTCTATTGGGGGGAAAAGCGGAGGGCCAGTTGGAGGGGAGCTGGGGTGTGATAGCCTGGGGAGAAATGCCAAATGTGGATGAAGGGGAGAAAGGAAGCAAAACATACTGCCATGTGTGTACCTATGCAACTGTCTGGCATGTTCTGCACATGTACCCTGAAACCTAAAATGCAATAAAATATTAAAAAAAAGAAAAAAGAAGAGAGAATCTAATGCCTGATGATCTGTCACTGTCTCCCATCACCTTCATATGGGATTATCTAGTTGCACGAAAACAAGCTCAGGACTCCCACAGATCTACATTATGGTGAGTTGTATAATTCTCTCATCATATATTACAATTTAATAATAATAGAAATAAAGTACACAATATACGTAATGCATTTGAAGCATCCTGAAGCCATTCCCTTGAATGCCTGATCCTTGGTCTGTGGAAAAACTGTGTTTCATGGAACCAGTTTCTGGTGCCAAAAAGTTTGGTGACTGTTGTTTTCGATGTTAACCACTCAGTATGTGTTGAGTGTATCTCACTGTGGTTTCAATTTGCATTTCCGTTGTGATTAATGATATTCAGCACCTGTGTGTGTTTACTGGCCATTGCATGGCCTCTTTTATAGAAGACCAGTTTGAATTTCTTACCCTTTGTTCTACTGGATTCTGTTATTTCATTTTTGATTAACTTTGAGCAGTTTTTATGAGAGTCTGATTATGAGCCTCTTCTTGATTATATGTATTAAAACGACACTCTCCCACTCTTGTTTGTCTGTTCACTCTTCTGCTTATCGAAACAAAAGCTCTTAATTTTGGCAAATAAAAATTCTTAACTTTAATAGTGCATCTCTCTTTTCCTTTATGGTTTATGGGCTTCCTTTCTCAGTCATGAATTCTCCTATATGTAATTTTCTAAAAGCTTTATTGTTTCATACTTCAATCTACAATCTACCTGGAGCTGATTTCTGTGAGTGGTGTGAGAGGGAGTCAAGTCTCAGTTTTTGCCTTTATCTATCCATTTCATTTAGTACTTGAGAAGCTGTCTTTTTCTCATTACTCTGATCTTTATGCTGGGGCTACTTTTCCCTAAGCTGCCCCTGTCCCTCAATGACCTGTTGAAGGTACTGAAGCGGGGCCAATTCTGCTTGATGTGGGCTCTTCTAATGGGAACCTGTGCTTGGATGCTACCCATCAGCCAAACCACACTTTCTTGGAACTGCAGATTGGTCTGAGGCTCTTCCTACCGGTCTTCTTTCCCTCCTGTCATGGTGTCAGATAGGTGTGGTCTGAAATCTCCCCCTGCCTAAGCATGCTCTCTCCCCCTTTATCCTCCCCAAGTATCTCCCTCCAAAAATATCTTGCATGTCTTGCTCATCTTGACATCTGCTAATTGGAGGACCTGAATTGACATAGAGTGAGTAGATCCTAGAATAAGAGAGTCATGCTTCAGTGACAATGGGACAAAGGGCTTGGCTAAGTTCAGGGCAAAAGAGAATGAATATGGAGAATGGATTGAAGGACTTTCTCAAAGAAGAGTGCATGGAAACTTGTGTCCGGCAATGTAGAAGGCAAGAGAAGGGGTGGAGTTGAAGACAGTTCTAACATTGGGACTCAATCATCATGTCACTGAAAATGAGCTCATTTCAGGCAACTATTATGATACTACTTCTATACTAATTAAGGGATTTTGGGGAAACAATTTAATAACAATGTTGTTACTTTTGTATTGGGCTTCAACAGTTTACTAGATGAATTTATACATCATCTCATTTATTCTTTAATGGGACTTTGGAATACAAGGGAAAGGGAAGCACTTAAATGAGGTCCTGTTTGACTCTCCCTTCCGGGGTCTTCATTGCTGACCCTTCCACTCCAGACTCTTTTCACTTCTGTTTCCAAGGGTTGAAATCACTAAATCACTCAGATTAGGCCATCTGCAGTCAAGATAAAAGGTCAGGGTGATGTTAGCCTGTGATGAGATGGTGTGTGGTCAAAGAGGGTTTTTTTTTAGGCTCTGTCAAGGCTGAAAAATGGGGGTTTAGGGGAGAAAGTGTAAATTAATGGGATATACATTGATTTGGCTGGGGATAGCTTATTTTATAATACTTAGGGATGGTGACTGATACAGTTTGGATTTTTGTTCCTCCAAATCTCATGTTGAAATTTGATCCCCAGTGTTGGAGATGGGGCCTAATGGGAGGTGTTTGGGTCATGGGGGCAGATCCCTCGAGAATGGCTTGGTGCCCTCTCCATCATAATGAGTGAGTGCTCACTCTACTAGTTCACATGACAGTGGTTGTTCAAAAGAGCGTGACATTCCTTTCCTCCTCACTGTCTGTCTCTTGCTCTTTCCCTCACCCTGTGGCACACTGCTCTCCTTTCTCTTCCACTGCAACTGAAAGCTTCTTGAGGTCCTCACCAGGAGCAGATGCTGGCGCCATGCTTCTTGTATGGACTGCAGAACCAAGAGCCAAATAAACCTCTTCTGTTTATAAATTACCCAGTCTCAGGTATTCCTTTATAGCAACATAAAATGAACTAATATATTCACCCCACAGTGGGGTGAAGTGTTGATTTTTGGGGGATCATGCATAAATTATATCACTGTCAGAGAAGGGGAGAGAAGGACAATAGAAAGCAGAACCATGTAGAGAAGGAATGATCATTATGGGTGGGTTGGCAGAAGAAGGACAATACTATATTTTAGATGGTGTTTGTGTGTGTGTGTGTGTGTGTGTGTGTGTATTCTAGCCTCAGGGAGAGTAAGAAAAGAATTTGGTGGTGGGAAGAGAATAGTGAAAGAGATGTTGGAATCAGAAAGATTCTAAAGAACTTTAGGGTACTTAAGATTGGTAGCCATTAACGTAGGCTCCATCAGCTAGCCAGTATTAAGCATCTCCTGTGGCTGCTGTTCACTACTGATGGGACAGATGTTGTGTCTTAGGGAAGGGAGCCAGACTTGGAAGCTCCTTCTATTCTAGGATTGGACAGACAGGTATTTATTTAAAAGAACCAGATGGTTCAAAGGAGTTTCTAATTTTATACTGTCGGGCATCAGGTTTCAAACTAAATTTGGGCTCTGCCTTCCAGCTTTCCTGTTGGCCCCGGATTGAGAATAGCCTCCTGTTTTACCAGCCATCTGGTCCCTCCAGATCTCTGCTGCTGAGTGACATCTCCAAATGTCTCCCCGCAGAGAGGACAGAATCTTAAACAAAATCTACAGGGCAAAGATACATTTTTCTAATAGGTGAGATCCTGGAGAGGAATAGGTCCCCATGTTGAAAGGACCATGTGATGTGAGTCACACTGTGTTTGATGTGATAAGTGGCTTCTTGAGCAGTCACATGTTGAGGTGTGCACTGTACTGGATAGTCCATGCCTGTGTTTCTAGATCTTTGATTTTCTAGGATTTCCTTTTCTAAATAAGTGGGCTCTTGTTCTAATAATTCATCACTTAGTATCAATAACTGTTCATAAATGCCCACTGTGTGCTAGATATTGGTGGCACATCTACCTCTGGTCTTCTAAAATGACAAAAAATAGAGAATGATTTAACTCTAACCATGACATTAATCTTTTGAGGACAATAATCCATTATTATTTTCAGCAGGACCGTCTCTGGACAGAAGAGGCTAAGGCCATCCCCAGGGCTTGCTTTGTCTGCAGTGCAAGACAAGTCGCACTATGAAGTCTCTTTGCTTCCTATTCTCAACCCCTCCACTGGCAACCCAGCATTTTTATCAGGTCAAAGTGAATGACAAGGGCTAACTTGAAGAGGATGAGAAGTCACACAATGCATCCATGTGACCCGGAGGGCTCACTAGACTTGGATGGAGGTGTTACCGCTTGGTTTGGTGAAGTCTGGGGTTTACAGACTTAGGGCACAAATGTGAGCCTCAGGCCCTTCCTTCTAAGCAGCAGATGGCAGAGCACCTCAATGCACTCTGCCAGCTGCCCAGTCCATGTGCCTGGTGGGATTGTCCTGCTCTGCTTTCCACAAGGATGGCTTTGTCTGCCGGAAAGAATAATCATAACTGAAACAAATGTGTACTTGGATAGATACCTGGATAGATACAGCTTAGTTGGCTCCTGACAGGTTTCTGGCTAGGAGAGCCTGAGCAGCTACAGTGGGAAGGTAGATGCTGTAGGACCAGACAGATGGTGGGTAGCTGTCATCCACTGCATCCTGGTCCCCTTCAGTCTCACATTACAAATGACCCAAAGGATATGTGTGAACAGATTTGAAAATTAAAAAAGTTCAGTTGATTACATTTATCACAGGTTTTCTCAATAACAGGCAGGCAATAAAACTGGTCGCCATTCCCTCAAATAGATTTTGCAATGCTTGGGGTCTCCTTTTAATATAAAATGGAGGAGTTGCTAGGAGTAGCAGATCTGAGCACATGTCTCTGTCTAGTAGGTTTTTTCTTGCAAAAAGTCTTATAGTTATGGCTTAAGTTCTCATTGCCCAACTGTATACTCTGAGTCATTGTCCTGTCACAGCCATATTTCTGGCTGGCATTGTATCTGCAACCAAGAGTGTGATTGCAAGAACACAAGGCACTGTGGAAAAGATAGATGAGATTTGTGAGTCAGGAATTCTGCTCATAAGGTCTGAGGCTGTTCATTTCCTGGGTTTGTCCAGGGGACCTTAAGCCATGGAAAGCATAATACTTAGGGATGGTAAACCTGGCACCACCCTGCTTGCATTCTTTGCTCCAGGCATTCTGATCTAGTTGTCCTTCTCTGTATCCCATGCTTGCTCCCTGAGCCCCAACACCTACTGTTCTCTAGATTGGGGCTTTCTCTAGCTTCATCCTCCCCTCCCTCAGCCCACTATGCACTCGGTCAGGCCAACTGGTCTTACTCTGCAGTGGAGTCTGAGGTTTGCTGTTGCTTCCTGTGGGGAGGCTTTTCTGAGCCCCCAAGCCTGGTGCTGTGTGCTCCTGTAGCAGCCCCTGCTTCTTCTGTACACCATGTATTGCCAACTTGCTTCTGACTTTTCCCTACAAGCTACATTCTCCATGAGGTAGGGAATTATGTGTTTATTTCTCCCAGAACAGAGCCTGGTGCACAGTGGGTGCTCAGTGGTTGAGTGGATGAATGGGCCTCAGTGATCCTTTGCTTCCCTCACACTGAGAAGGTCTGGTCAGCTCGTTTCCCTTTCTCCTCTCCCTTGTTTCTTGCTGACTCTTCTGGAGCACCAGTGAAAACATAGTCCTTGCCTGGCTTTCTGTTTTTTTTTTTCCCCTCCCCATTGCTTTAATTAACTTAGAAATTCATTGGACACTCAGACAAAAGATAGAATTTGATTGTCTCTATAGTATACCTGGATGCCACTTCTCTGAAGTCTGTTGGAATGAAGTAATGAAACCTTGTATGTTTTGTTTGTTTTCCAGCTGCCTCCTGGTTATAAAGCAAAGCAAAACTAGAGAGAAGACCAATGCCAGAGCCTTTGTTACTAAAATGTCAGCATTTCTTGCAACTCTCTTTGGTTTGGGGCTCTTTTGTGTCACAGATGTTTTCAAATAGATCTGGAGATTTACAGCATTTTGACCAGAAGATACCCTGAGAGCAGGCAGTGAGAAGATCACTCTTTTCTCCTGGTCTGCCTTTTGTATTAGGTTGGTGCAAAAGTGGCTGCATTTTTGCCATTAAAATTATTTTTGCAGCAACCTAAATAGAACGTGTGATGATGCAGAGCACCCAAACGAGAGAGTGTGCGACTGTGCAGGCATCCACTATGCCTCAATGTTTATTTCTTCCAGCTTAGGGGTGTGGCTTCCCTTGTCATAGTTTCACAAAAGGATTATTTCCTAGTTAAAAAGAGAATCACACAGGTAGAAATCAAGGTGGGGGAAAAGATGAAACAACTGTAGGTGTACAAATGACCCCATTGAGATGTTGTAAGATTGAGAACCAGGAGTAGGGGAGCCTTGTTAGTCTCTGACTTACAGACCTTGAATCTGATCCGGAGGCATTCTTCCATCTAAGAGCAATTATTGGAGTTGAAAGAAAACCACTTAGTTTTACTCAAATTTGTTTAAAAATATTTATAATGAGGGTGGGTGTGGTAGCTGATGCCTGTAATCCCAGCACTTTGGGAAGCTGAGGAGGGCAGATCAGGAGGTCAGGAGATTGAGACCATCCTGGCCAACATGGTGAAACCCTGTCTTCACTAAAAACACAAAAATTAGCTGGGCATGGTGGTGTGCGCTTGTAAGCCCAGCTACTCAGGAGCCTGAGGCAGGAGAATCACTTCAACCTGGGAGGCAGAGGCTGCAGTGAGCCGAGGTCATGCCGCTGCCCTCCAGCCTGGCAAGACTTGGTCTAAAAATACATATTTATACACACATACACATATATTCATAATGAAACAAGATATTTATATACACACACACACATTCATAATGAAACAAGATATTTATACACACACATATTCATAATGAAACGATATTTATATACACACACACATTCATAATGAAACAAGATATTTATATACGCACACACACATATTCATAATGAAACAAGATATTTATATACACACATATATTCATAATGAAACAAGATATTTATATACACACACACATATTCATAATGAAACAAGATATTTATATACACACACACACACACACACATATTCATAATGAAACAAGATATTTATACACACACACACATATTCATAATGAAACAAGAATTAGAAGAAGAATGGGCACCTAATACATGCCAGCTGCCGAGTCATCCCCTACTGAGGAGGACACTTTCTTAGTCATCATCTCATTTAATTGTTTTCATTAGATATTGAGAATATTCATAAAATATATATGATGTGTAAAGAATCACAATATTGGCGAGGCATGGTGGTTTATGCCTATAATCCTAGAACTTCTGAAGGCCAAGGCAGGAGGATTGCTTGTGGCCAGAAGTTCAATACCAGCCTGTGCAACATAGTCAGACTTCATCTCTACAAAAAATAAATAAATTAGCTGGGTGTGGTGCATGCCTGCAGTCCCAGCTACTCGGGAGACTGAAGTGGGAGGATTGCTTGAAACCAGGGGCTTGAGGCTGCCGTGAACTGTTATCACATCACTGCATTCCAGCCTGGGTGACAGAGCAAGACCCTATCTCTAAAAAAATAAAAAGAAATATGGTGGGAGCGAAACCAACGCTGGCTCGTGGCAGCAGCTGCTGAGGTGTCCCTGGCCAGTGTCCTTCCACCTGTCCACAAGCATGGGGAACATCTTCGCCAACCTCTTCAAGGGCCTTTTTGGCACAAAGGAAATGCGCATCCTCATGGTGGGCCTGGATGCTGCGGGGAAGACCACGATCCTGTACAAGCTAAAGCTGGGTGAGATCGTGACCACCATTCCCACCATAGGCTTCAATGTGGAAACTGTGGAGTACAAGAACATCAGCTTCACTGTGTGGGACGTGGTGGCCAGGACAAGATCCGGCCTCTGTGGCGCCACTACTTCCAGAACACACAAGGCCTGATCTTCATGGTGGACAGCAATGATAGAGAGCACGCGAACAGGCCCGTGAGGAGCTCATGAGGATGCTGGCTGAGGATGAGCTCCGGGATGCTGTCCTCGCCAACAAGCAGGACCTCCCCAACTCCATGAATGCGGCCGAGATCACAGACAAGCTGGGGCTGCAATCCCTACGCCACAGGAACTGGTACATTCAGGCCACCTGAGCCACCAGCGGTGACGGGCTGTATGAAGGACTGGACTGGCTGTCCAATCAGCTCCGGAACCAGAAGTGAACGCGACCCCCTCCCTCTCACTCCTCTCACCCTCTGCGTTACTCTCATGTGGCAAACGTGCGGCTCTGGTGTGAATGCCAGAAGCTGCCTCAGTGGTTTGGTCACCGTGTGCATCGCACCGTGCTGTAAATGTGGTGGACGCAGCCTGCCGCCAGGCTTTTTATTTAATATAAATAGTTTTTGTTCCCAATGAGGCAGTTTCTGGTACTCCTATGCAATATTACTCAGCTTTTTTTATTGTAAAAAGAAAAATCAACTCACTGTTCAGTGCTGAGAGGGGATGTAGGCCTGTGGGCACCTGGCCTCCAGGAGTCGATGTGTTGGGAAAGCCGGGCACGCTCTTGGCTTTAGAGCTGTGTTAAAATCCATTTTGGTGGTTGGTTTTTAACCCAAACTCAGTGCACTTTTTTAAATAGTTAAAAATCCAAGTCGAGAACACTTGAACATACAGAAGGGAGACCCTGCCTAGCATAGATTTGCAGTTACAGCCTGGATGCCGGTCGCCAGCCCGGCTGTTCCCCTTGGGAATGTGAGGCGGCGGCGCTGCAGACCGCGATCAATTCTGCATGGTCGCAATAGAGATCCCGCAACTCACTTGTCCTTGGGTCACCCTGCATTCCATAGCCATGTGCTTGTTCCTGTGCCCCCATGGTTCCCAGGGGCCAAGCTGGGAGCCCACAGCCGCCCCACTCTCCTGCAGGCCTCCCCGCCCACCTTCAGGCAGCCTGTGGGAAACAGGGCCCCACCTGTCCCTCGGTCAGCATGTGGCCTGAGTGAGTCCGTCATTCCCACTGCTCGTGCTCGCTCAGACACTTCGGCAGGATGTCTGGGGTCTCACCAGCAGGAGTGTGTGAAAGCCGGGCAGGCGGTCCACCTCCACCCACAGCCCCTCGGGAGCACCCCACCTCCGTGTGTGACGTAGCTTTCTTTCCCTCAACCTGCAAGGGTCCGATTTGCCATTGAAAAAGACAACCTCTACTTTTTTCTTTTGTATTTTGATAAACACTGAAGAAGCTGGAGCTGTTAAATTTATCTTGGGGAAATCTCAGAACTGGTCTGTTTGGTGTCGTGGAGCCTCTTACTGCTTTCAGTACACGGTTGGTAATCAACGTTTTGTATACTTGTTTTCAGTTTTCATTTCGACAAACAAGTGCTGTAATTATAGCTATTAGAATAAAACCTCTTAACTATTAAAAAAAAAAAAAAAAGAAATACAAAAGAGTGAACGCCTGTGTCCAGCATTACCTTTGGGTGCCCTGTAGAATCTGCCTTCTTCCCTTCTCGGATGTAGCCACCTGTGTCCAGCATTACCTTTGGGTGCCCTGTAGAATCTGCCTTCTTCCCTTCTCGAATGTAGCCATTCTCCTAAATTTTGTGTTTATTGTTCACTTTCTTTCTAAAATACGTTTTTACTTTTTGCTCTATTCCAAAATGACATGTTGTTTCGTTTTGAATGTTGCTGGCCTTTATACAAATGGAATCATACTATATGAATTTTCTGCAACTTGTGTTTTTCACTCAGATATTTGATCTTGAGTTTCATTGGTGTAGTTGTGTCACTGTAATTAATTCCTATTATAGGAATTATATAGTGCTAGAGTGTATAAATATACCACAGTGTGGTTTATTCAGATGTGGATGAATGTTTGGATTGTTTCCATTTTTAAAACACGATATAGACAAGACTTGATCATTCTTGTATGAGTCCCTTTGTGCTGATTTTGTCAGACTTTTAAACTTTTGCCAGTCTGGTAGTTATGAAATAGCATCTTATGGTGGTTTGTTATTATTTTTTTTTCATGAGACAGAGTCTTGCTCTGTCACCAGGCACCAGGCTGGAGTGCAGTGGTGTGATCTCGGCTCACTGTAACCTCTGCCTCCTGGGTTCAAGTGATTCTCTTGCCTCAGCTTCCTGAGTAGCTGGGATTATAGGCGCCCACCACCATGCCCAGCAAATTTTTGTAGTTTTAGTAGAGATGGGGTTTCACCGTATTGGCTAACCTGGTCTCAAACTCCCAACCTCAGGTGATCTGCCTACCTCATTCTCCCAAAGTGTTAGGATTACAGGTGTGAGCCAATGTGCCTGGCCAAGCATATTTTCATATGGATATGGATACTTATGTTTCTTCTACTCTAAAGAGATAGTTCAAGCCTTGCCAATCTTAGTGATTTTTAAAATAATTTCAATTTCTATTTGAGATTCAAGGGGTACATGTGCAGGTTTTTTACATGGTTATATTATATGATGCTATGGTTTTGGGTACATTCATTCCTGTTACCCATGTAGTGAGCATAGTACTCAATAGTTTTTCAATCCTTCGCTCCCCATCCCACCTCCAATAGTTCCCAGTGTCTATTGTTGCCACCTTTGTGTCCACGTGTACCCAATGTTTAGCTCCCACTTAAAGGGGGGACATGTGACCTTTGGTTTTCTTTTTCTGCATGAATTTGCTTAGGATAATGCCTCCAGCTGTATCCATGTTGCCACAAAGGACATGATTTGGTTCTTTGTTATGGCTGCATCTATCTTTTTCTATTAAGATGTCTTTTTCTGATAGATTTATATGACTTCTTTATGTATTTTAGATACTCAGCTGTATGTTGCAACAAATAACTTCTCTATTTTTAATTGTTCTTTAAAATTCTCTAATAGTTTCTTTTGTTGGTCATGTGTTCTAATTTTAGCTTAGCCAAAGTTATCAAACATTTTCTTCACATAAATTATTTATATAACAACTTTGTATGCAATATTTCCTACTGAATGTTATAATCACATTCCCTATATCATCTTCTACAGGTTTTATCATTTTACCTTTCACATTTAGGCCTACAGTCTACGTGGAATTGGTGTTTGTGTTCAGCAGGATAGGCCCAATAGAAATAGGATCTTATTTCTTTTTTTTCTTTCCTGTGTGATCACTCAGTACTCTCAGCACCATGAATTTCCACATCATGAGCAATGGTAGCTTTGTCATAAATGTACATATGCATATGGGTCTGTTTCTGGAACCTATTCTATTTCATTGTTCAGTATACCTCTGTGCCTCCACCATCTTAATTACTAGAGCTTTTTAATAATTCTTGATACTTGATACGGCAAGGCCTCTTGTCTTACTCTGAGTGTGTCTTGGCTATTCTTAGTCCCTTGCAATTCTCTATAAGCATTGGGTTAACCCATCAAATTCCCCAAAAACCCCTTGTCGTGTTTTCTTCTCATTGGGTTTTGAGGTTACTCTTTTGAGAGTGGCCCTAATGCAAGGTTGTGACTCTCTAGGAGAGCCCTGTACAGAGGAGAGCTAGGATCAGGTGTGTCAGCCAGGTGAGACACGGAGGAGGTGGCAGAGCAAAACACATGAAATAACAGAAGAAGTTTTTTTTAATTACTTAAAGATTGCAGAGAGAAGGAGACATCATAAAACTAGTGGGGGCCAGGCACAGTGGGTCACGCCTATAATCCCAGCACTTTGGGAGGCTGAGGTGGACAGATCACCTGAGGTCAGGAGTTCAAGACCAGCTTGGCCAACATGGTGAAACCCCATCTCTACTAAAAATACAAAAAAATTAGTGAGGCGTGGTGGTGGGTGCCTGTAATCCCAGCTGCTCAGGAGGCTGAGGCATGAGAATCACTTGAACCCAGGAGGCCGAGGTTTCAGTGAGGCAAGATGGCACCAATGCACTCCAGTCTGAGTGACAGAGTGAGACTCTATCTCAAAAACAAACAAACAAACAAAAAAAACCCTAGCAAGTCCAGCAGGAAGAGGGGAGCTGAATGGGACCTGTAGGGGCAACCAGGGGATGGAAAGCAAAAGAGAGAGAGAGAGAGAGCGAGGAAGGGACCTGGGGTCCAAAGCCTTTTTTGGTGTCCAGGGCATTGCCCAAGCAGGTTTTCCACAGGGAGTTCTAACTGGTAGGTTTAAAGTAAGCAGGCACGATTTCCAAGGGGTCATGCTGTGACTGAGAGGTAGTCACTGCAGCATATCTGCACAGTCAATGCAAGCTATGGGGGGCATTGGGGCAAGTCAAGTCGGTTGCATCTGGTTGTCTTATAGGGAGGTGGTCTCCAGGAGGTGGTTGTATAAGGCAGATACCAGGGTCAACCACACTGCAGAACTAGGAGTCAGGTGGAGGACTGGAAATTGTGTTAAAGGCAACTAAACTCTACTTCTGGCATGAGGAAGTCCAACTTATATTAAAATGGATGCCAAGACAATATGAAGTTACAAGAATTCACAGCCTGGTGTGAATTGTTATACCTGTATCTGAGAATTTTGAGAGGCTGAGGCTGGCGGATCACCTGAAATCAGGAGTTTGAGACCAGCCTAGTCAGCATGGTGAAACTCTATCTCTGCTAAAAATACAAAAATTAGCTGGGCAAGGTGGCACATGCCTGTAGCCCCAGCTACTTGAGAGGTGGAGGGATGAGAATCGCTTAAACCTGGGAGGCAGAGGTTGCAGTGAGCTGAGCTCACCCTACTGCACTTCAGCCTGGGCGACAAAGTCAAACTCTATCTCAAAAAAAAAAAATAAATAAAAGGAATTCACTACACCCCTGATATAATGGAATCTTTATAGCAATCCTATTAGAGGATTATTGGAGATTGATCCCTTGATGAATTTTAGGATAGATTTTTTGTTTTCTTTTGTTTTTAAATATTTCTGCCCCCCAAAATGCTGTTGGAATTTTAATGGTGATTGTATTGAACCTATAGATTACTTTGCGTAGTCTTGTCATCTTAACAATGTTAAGTCTGCCAATCTATGAACAAAGGATGCCTTTTCATTTATTTATATCTTCTAGCAATGTTTTATAGTTTTTGGTGTGCAAGTCTTTTGCTTCCTTGTTTAAGCTTATTTCTGAGTTGGTTTTATTGTTGTTGTTGTTGAGACAGGGTCTTACTCTGTTGTCTAGACTGGAGGCAGTGGTGCAATTAGAGCTCACTGCAGCCTCGACCTCCCTGGCTAAGTAATATTCCCACCTCAGCCTCCCAGGTGTGCACCACCATGCCTGACTAATTTTTTAAAATATATTTTTAAATAGATGTGAGGTTTTGCCATGTTGCCCAGGCTGGCCTTGAACTCCTGGGCTCAAGCAATTTGCCTACCTTGGCCTCTTAAAGTGGTGGGATTACAGGCATGAGCCACTGCACCCAGCTGTTTATTTTTTTTTAATGTGTCTTCCTGATGCCTTTGTAAATACATTGTTTTCTTAATTTTTGTTTTGGACTGTGCATTGTATGTGTATAGAATTGCAACTTATTTTTGTGTTTGATGTTGTATCCTAGAACTTTGCTGAATTCATTGATTCTCTTTCTCTCTTGTGTGTTTGCATATAAACTTTAGGGGTTTCTACAAATGAGATTAGGTCCTCTGGTTACAGGAATAATTTTACTTCTTCCTTTCAAGTTTGCATGCCTTTTATTTCTTTTTCTTGTCTGATTGTTCTGGCTGTAACTTCTAATACTATGTTGAATAGAAGTGAGAAAAGTGGCCTTTAGTCTCTCTTGATTTGGAGGGAAAAGGTTTCAGGTTTTCATTTCTGAGAATGATGTTAACTGTGTTTTTTTTCATATCTGAGATATAGCATATTGAGGAAGTTCCCTTATATTCCTATTTTATTGAGTATTTTTATCATGATAGGGTATTGAGTTTTGTCAAATAATTTTTCTGCATCAACTGAGTTGATCATGTATTTTTTTATCCTTCATTCCACTAATGTGTTGTAGTACATTGATTGATTTTTTTTATTTTTAATTTTTTATTGGATTTTAGGTTTTGGGGTACATGAGCAGAGCATGCAAGACAGTTGCGCAGGTACGCACATGGCAGTGTGCTTTGCTTTGCTTCTCCCCTTCACCCACATTTGGCATTTCTCCTCAGGCTATCCCTCCCCACCTCCCCCTCCCACTGGCCCTCCCCTTTTCCCCCCAATAGACCCCAGTGTTTAGTACTCCCCTTTCTGTGTCCATGTGTTCTCATTTTTCATTACCCGCCTATGAGTGAGAATATGCGGTGTTTCATTTTCTGTTCTTGTGTCAGTTTGCTGAGGATGACGTTCTCCATATTCATCCATGTCCCTACAAACGACACAAACTCATCATTTCTGATTGCTGCATAATATTCCATGGTGTATATGTGCCACATTTTTCCAATCCAGTCTATTACCGATGGGCATTTGGGTTGATTCCAGGTCTTTGCTATTGTAAACAGTGCTGCAATGAACATTCGTGTACATGTGTCCTTATAGTAGAACGATTTATAGTCTTTTGGATATATACCCAGTAATGGGATTGCTGGGTCAAATGGAATTTCTATTTCTAAGGCCTTGAGGAATCGCCACACTGTCTTCCACAATGGTTGAACTAATTTACACTCCCACCAACAGTGTAAAAGTGTTCCTTTTTCTCCACATCCTCTCCAGCATCTGTTGTCTCCGTATTTTTTAATGATCGCCATTCTAACTGGCATGAGATGGTATCTCAATGTGGTTTTGATTTGCATCTCCCTGATGACCAGTGACGATGAGCATTTTTTCATATGATTGTTGGCCTCATATATGTCTTCTTTCATAAAGTATCTGTTCATATCCTTTGCCCACTTTTGAATGGGCTTGTTTGTTTTTTTCCTGTAAATCTGTTTGAGTTCTTTGTAAATTCTGGATATCAGCCCTTTGTCAGATGGGTAAACCGCAAATTTTTTTTTTCATTCTGTTGGTTGCCGATTCACTCTAGTGACTGTTTCTTTTGCCGTGCAGAAGCTGTGGAGTTTGATTAGGTCCCATTTGTCTATTTTGGCTTTTGTTGCCAATGCTTTTGGTGTTTTGTTCATGAAGTCCTTGCCTACTCCTATGTCCTGGATAGTTTTGCCTAGATTTCGTTCGAGGGTTTTTATCGTGCCAGGTCTTATGTTTAAGTCTTTAATCCATCTGGAGTTAATTTTAGTGTAAGGTGTCAGGAAGGGGTCCAGTTTCTGCTTTCTGCACATGGCTAGCCAGTTTTCCCAACACCATTTGTTAAACAGGGAATCCTTTCCTCATTGCTTGTTTTTGTCAGGTTTATCAAAGATTGTATAGTTGTAGATATGTTGTGTTGCCTCTGGTGTCTCTGTTTTGTTCCATTGGTCTATATCTGTGTTTTGGTACCAGTACCATGCTGTTTTGATTACTGTAGGCTTGTAGTATAGTTTGAAATCCAGTAGTGTGATGCCCCCCGCTGTGTTCTTTTTGCTTAGAATTGACTTGGCTATGCGGGCTCTCTCTTGGTTTCATATGAAGTTCATGGTGGTTTTTTCCAGTTCTGTAAGAAAGTCAATGGTAGCTTGATGGGGATAGTGTTGATTCTGTAAATTACTTTGGGTAGCATAGCCATTTTCACGATATTAATTCTTCCTAACCATGAACATAAAATGTTTCTCCATCTGTTTGTGTCCTCTCTGATTTCGTTGAGCAGTTGTTTGTAGTTCTCCTTGAAGGGGTCCCTTACG